AGGAATCATGAGAGCTCCTCACTTTACAAGGTGTAGACTTGCAAAGAAAGTGATACTTTAGTCTGATTTTACTTTTTAACTGTCTAAGTAAAGCTACTGAATTCAAAAGTCAATTTGATATTGCTTATAAGTCTTTTTACAAAACTAACCTGTTTCCATGTACTGCAAAAGCAATCCATGTTCATTGTAGAAAATGTAAAAATAAGGAAAATTACGTGATTACCTATAATCTCCCAAAGATAACTGCTATTAACATTTTGTTAAAATTTCCTGGACTGGCTTTCTGCACACCTATACACGTTTTAAAAGAAATTAGTATAATACTGTATATACTGATTTGTAAACCTTTGTTGTTAATGGTCAACTTTTTCCTATTTTACTAAACATTTTCTTAAAGGATTTGATCGGAGTTTGGATTTGGGAGCCATGTAGTATTCTAGTGTGTGGCTGTATCAAAATTTCATTTAACCTATTTCCTACTGTTGTCTATACTGGGTGCTTACAATATTTTGCTAATATGAATCATTTCTGAAGATGTCTTTTCACATAAATCCTTGACAATACAGTAGATGTAGGTCTGATTTGTCAAACAAAGAAAACTAAAGCTGGATTTCAGTTTTTCGGGGTATCAGCCACGCTGTTGAGCATTTATGAGAAAATGGTCACCTATACGCTTACTAAGGTCGATTGACATGGTCACCCCAAAGATTTGGGGAGATCTCCCCCACTGTCACCATCACTGGATCTCGTACCGGGCTCCTGGCTTCTTCACACACTTAGTGTCCTGCTTAAAAACCAAAGCAGTGGATTCATCTTGCCTTTCTCTTCTTTTGATTCTCTTTCAGCCTGATGAAGTCCTCCGATATCGATCAGGATTTATTTACAGACAGTTACTGCAAGGTGTGCAGTGCACAGCTGATATCGGAATCTCAGCGCGTGGCCCACTACGAGGTAAGAACAGCTTCTCCCACTTAGTGTGTTCAAATGGAAGCAAGAGTAGCCTGGGTCAAGGCTGTGGGACTTGAGGGTGCTGCTTTCTGGACCTGGGGCAGAACTTGAGAAGCACAGGGCTTGAGCCGGCGAGTCTGAGATCAGGCCAGGACAAATGTGCATGCGTGGGGCTGGAGAGAGCGCTGGGGATGTCACTCTCAGGCCCCTGGCTGCTCCCCAAATTCTGCTTTTTTCTTTGTCCCTCAGCCCCTGGGGACCCAGTGGGCTTTCTCTACTTGTTAAATCTGTCATTGCTCATCCCTGAAGTTCCTTTCAGGGACACAGCCCAGGTTTCATTAGTGCCAGCTTCTCTTTTCTTCTCTGACCCTGAAGAAAAGCTCAGAGGCCCTTTCTTCATCACTGGAGGGAAACATAGCAGCATCAGTGGTTCAGCACCAAATTCCTCCCACCTCCTGGCTGCTGCCCCCAAAAGGGTTTATTAGCAAGAAGACATCCCCCCGCAGGGTGATGCCCAAGTTTTAAAGCCCAGATACTCTTGAAAGACATAATTCATCGGCTTTGGCTTTTTAGGATGGAAGTTCAAATGGCTGCTTTTAGATCTTTTATTGGGAAGAGAGGATGAGAGGAGAGAGGTCGACCAGTTTCTGAGGAGGGAATGGCAGGGGGGCACGCGTGGAGAAAAGGGGAGCCTGGGCCCCCAGATGCTTCTCAGGGCCGTTAGCTTTGCAAGAGAACATATACCAGCGAGAACATGAGCTTTCAAGGGCAATAATTTGTAAGTAGTTTTAGCTTAGAGGGCTTAGCCAGCAATTTTCTTTTTGTCTGACAAATGCCAGTTGTCACTGTCACTCACCAAACTCCTTGAGCCTCAGATTCCTCCGCGCACGAGGAAAATAATAATAATCACATGCACACACACACCGAGCGACGCGTTCATCGGACCATGTGTTGTCCTCAGGGTTTTGTGGTGACCAGAGAGACCCCTCAAAGTAGCATTTGTGAAAACACTTCGGAAGCTGTACAGTGTGGCAAACGTGCAAAATTACATTTTTGCTCATTATTAACTCCGTGGCATCAATATTTGGATGAAGGCAAAGCAAACTTGCTCTTCAGAGAAAACTTTTAAGTCAGCCTCTGTGAAAAAAGTCAGCATGTTCTTTTGGCAGTAGGCAACTGAGTGGAAGAGGAAGGGAGTGTGAATGCAGAAGGATGATCAAAACGGAAGATAGCCATTTTTTGAAATTAAGAATTTCGAAATTCTGTAGATGTTGCTTTGTAAACACATATGGTTTTTATTAATTCCATTTTCCCAGTGAAGGAAAATCAGGGAATTTGTCCCTGCTCTGAAATTCCACAGCCTCCTATTATGTTCTCCCTTTATTAGACTTTTTGGGTTCCATTTTTAATCATCTTACTAGATTCTTGAGGCCAGAAAGAGAGTTTTATTCATTTGATCTTCCATAATTTCTGGGACAGCATGTGCACATCAGAGCTGTTCAGTGAGCTTTTGTTTACAAAAATAGCCTGGTGGCGCTGTCCAAGCACTGCTTTGTTGTTACCTGAGCTAGAAAAGTAATGTCAGAAAATCGAAAACAACAAAAAAATTTTTTTAAAGGAAAAACATCTTAGCTGCTCAGTTACGGGTTTAGTTATTTGAAGTCAAGTCTTCCTGTTACCACACTGTACCAGCTGTGGCATAACTTAATTGTTTAGAGGATGTGTTAAGATTTGTTGCATGTAGCGTAGATGAGAGGGAGAAGAGAAAGCGATCACAACAGAGCTGCAGTTAACCCAGTTACATATCATCAGAACAACATGAAATGTGTTCCTGTTAACCAGGGATGGGAACTCTGGGCGAGGGTTCATCCCCTGCTTCCAGGTAGAGGTGGGTACTTGCTTCGGGGGAAATACACATGCAGAGCTGCTGCGGGTGCGGGAAGGGTATAGCTGGGACTGAGCGCACTTTGTGTGGTCTCTGGTCTTCCAGCTTTGGTTGGAGACGTTCTTCATCTCTAGGAGGATGGCTCCTATCAGATGATCTCAAAGGCCATCTGAGAACTGATATTTTCATGCCATTCATCCCTCCCACCCCCACCCCCGACACCCCCTCTGCTGAAATTTCACGTAGAGTGGGTCTCTGTGAGTCCTGTTGCCAAAATTTGACCACTGTACACCGGGGCCGGATTAAATCTCGGAGACAGAGTTTTGGGGGAAGTAGAAAGAAATAATTTTATTGCTTTGCCCGGCAAAGGGGGCCTAATGCCCTCAAGACTGTGTGTCCCACCCTGGTGCGGGTAGTGAGGGGTCTTACAGTGTTCAAGGAGCAGGGCGTGCTGAGCACATGGACATTCTTCTGATTGGTTGGTGGTGAGGTAATGGGGAGTCAGCACCATCAGCCATCTGGTTCCAGCCCGTCTGGGGTCTGTGTGTTTGTGGGCAGCACACAGTTAACTTCTCCCACCTGCTGAGGGTTTCAGTATCTGCAAAACAGCTCGAAGGACGTGGTTCAGAATATTATTTATAGTCCTGGAGGAAGAACTAAAGGTCCTTGACTTTGTTTAATGGTTAAAGTATTATTATTTGTCTTGCTTGACCATTTTCCTCTTTCTGCATTTTCTCACTTCTCTGACTAAATTTATTCTTTGACTAACATTCTCCTACAGACAAAGAGGCAGGCGGAGGACATGGGTGGGTGTCCATTCCGGGAAGGTCTCATAGGGTCCAGCTCTGTTACGGTCCCAAATCCCAGTCAGTTCATTGAAAATGTGGCTACAGTTATTCTCAATGCTCTTTCACTGATTTATTGCTTGAGTATGATTTTACTCTCAGTTTGACCAGATCATATTCCCAGCCTCCCTACAGGGCAAATCAGTAGGAATCTTCGGTGTATTTCCTGCATGCCCAGCACTATTAGCATTTGATATTGCAGGCGGTTCTGGGTTATGTGAGCCTCCAAGAGGCTCATAAACTTCCTTGGAAAGGCAAAGCCATGGATAGTTCAGTGTGGTATCTATGTGTGTGGTATCTATGTGTGTGGTACCGAGAACAGGCTCTGTAGATTCTGCTCCTAAAAAGAGGCCGATCTAACTTGATATAAACAGAGTGTTCATTCTTCTGCCCATTTGACTGTCTGATGTATATGCTATGTTGTGCTGTTAATTTTTTATATCTTTGCATATTCCAAATTCAAAAGGGTGAGTCATCACCGAGAGCTATTATGGTCCAGAGAGATTTGTGGGGATGACGTGAATCTTCGAGGTTTCAGTGGATGTGTTAAATTTAGAGGTTACTAGAATAAGAAACCTTGGAATCTCCAAGGAGGCTGGCTTGGCTGGACTGGAAAATTTGTGTTGGAGAAGAGAGGCTGGCAGCACCTACAGGTAGGGTGGGATCAAGGGGTAAGGAAAGGGGAGTCTGGACTCTTGTGAGGCTCTTAAGTATTTGAGAGTGTAAAAAATAATTGTGCATTTCTGAGTGACAGCCCATCGATGGTGGTCAAGATGTATTGTTGTTAAAAGAACAGCTCTTGATATGACTTTTGCCACGAGACTAATGTGCCAGTCCGCTGAAGTAGGAGGAAAATAACAAAGCAGACGTGTAATGGCTAATAGCTTCATGTCTCATTTAAAAGCCTGAACCTTTGTACAGGAGGACACAACCTAATAAATGTCTAATGGACCAAACCCTTCCATGCTATACTTTTAAGATCTCTTTTTGCATATGAAGTCCTGGGCTGAAAAAATGGGGAAACATAAACACATTGTTTTTCTTACTTGCTAAGCATTAATAACATGTAATGTTTCGGTGGAAAATAGAATTAGATGTTGTCTCTGCTCACTGGTTGAATAGCCTGAATCAATAGAACAAGTAGACACAGACACAGAGGGGAAGGGAAAGCTTTCAAATGAATATGCCTGAATGTTACAGAGGTTAGAACTTGTTTCCCATTGAGGCCATGAGGGAAGGGCTGCTTTTCTAAGCATAGGACGAAGAGGATTGAGAACTGAAACCAAAAGGACAGAACGTGCCAGCCCCGATGCCTTGCCCGTTTTGTGAACCCTAATACCCTTGTGTTACTTTGCTGGCCGTGTAATTAATCACTGTTTGTGAAATCCGTGTCTCAGAGGCACCTCCAAACAAGATTGCAAGCTTCCTGAGGGCAGGCCAGAGTCATGCACTGTGTTTCTCATTTATTTCCACAGCTTGGCCCCTGGTTGTTGCTCATGGGCACTTCGAGGGTGATGAAGAGGTTGCGGTGGGGACTGGCAGAGGGAAGCAGTGGGGCAGGTGTAATGGAAGCGTTCGTGGGTGCACCAGAAGACGCGATGGTGTACGTTCGGAGTCGCTCTATACTCTCGGAGCGGCCTTCAGTGTAGAGGTGACAGTTCTGCAGTTATAGGAAAGGCGGTTCTCTAAGCTGATGGGGGACTCTTCAGACATCTCTGAATCTTGTAGTAATGTCCGTCCTGGCAAGTGAACCCTATCAGTCCCCCCGGGAATGTCAGAATCTAGCGGCAGGTGCATTGGGTCTGCAGGGGCATGCTGAAACGGATTTTTCAGTTTGACCTGTTTTGATGGCATTCCAACAGAACTCTGCCTTCCTTAGCTTCTGTTTAAAGTGGGGAATAGCTGAAGGGCACTCTCTTAGTCTCTATAGGTCCAATAGTGAATAGGGCATAAGTGTTTCCTGGGTAGAGACAACAAGGTAAACATGAGGTCTCCAGTATATGCTGATTAGTGTCTTGACGTTTTGGTGTTACCAGTGCCTTTATTGCCTTCTGCCCCTTAGTCCCTCACACCTTCTCCACTTTGCTTCTTCCTTTTGCTAATTGCCTGAGTAAGCACGCAAGCTGGACAGCTCCTGGCATATGTGTGAGAGTTGGGGGTCAACGCTGTGCTGTGTTTCTGCATCAGTCCTGCCAGGTACCACGCTAACTGGACTTGAATATCGGCAGGGCTCGCTGTATCCTCACACCATTCGCATCTCTCCTGGGTACCAC